TTCATTTTTCTTTGCCATAATGCCCTGGTCAGGTTTTGCTATCAAAAATAGCAGCCTCATAAAACAAGGGAAAAAAGTTCCCTCTTTTTTTGTTCTCTGAGTGGGTTGATCAAATTGGCTACTGAAGCCACATAAAACCAGGAGTGTTCTCTGTGGGAGGGATTGTAATTATCAAATATGTTTCTTTAGTAGTTATAAAACTATTTAAGGCTTTCTATTTCTTTTTGTGTCACTTTTGCTGATATGTACTTTTCTAGGAATTTTTTAGCTTCATCTAAATTACCAAGTTTATTGGCATGAAAATATTCATAATACTTTATCAAGTTTTTAATATTTGTAGGGTCTGCAGTCAGATCTCCCTTTTTGTTGCAGATGTTAACTATTCATTACTTTTATATTCTTAGTCAGATATTCATCCATTCTTATTATTCCTTCCTAAAATCTTTTTTTGGCTATGCTTATCATCTTTATTCTGTTTGTTTCATTATACCATTAATTTCTGCTCACAATTTTATTATTCCTTTCTTCTATATTCTTTGGGTTCATCTGTTTTTAAAGATTTTGACACAGAGAGAGGGAGAGACAGAGAGAGGTCTCCCATCAACTGGTTCACTCCCCCAGCAGGCTGAAACACTGGGGTTGGGATAGGCCAAAGCCAGGATCCTGGCTTTTACATGGGCATGGAGCCCAAGGTTTTGGGCCATTTTCCATAGCTTTTCCAAGAACATTAGCAGGGAGCTGGATCATAAGTAGAGCAGCTGGGACTTGAACCAGTGCTTATAGAGGATGCCGCACTGCAGGCAATGGGTTAAACTACTGCACCACAACATCAGCCCTCTTTGACATTTGTTTTTGAATGTGGTTTTTGTTATCTTTCCAGATTACTGATTGAGTTTCACCTTTATTTTTCCTAGTAAACCCACTAAAGTCTGTAAATATCACTCTAATAATGATTTTGAAATGTCCTATAAATTTTATTCATATTTTTATATTATTCAGTTCAAAATATTTTTGTGTCCATTATGATTTCTTCTTTGATTCATCAGTTATATAGCATCTTTTAAGTATGGATTTCTTGCTCATTATACACTTGAAGGCTGAAAGACATTGTGGACAGAATAAACGCTCTGTGAGGCTGATGTTGCAGTGTAGCAGGTTAAGCTGCCAACAGTGACTCTGCATCCCGTATCTGAGCACTGGTTCAAGTGCTGGCCTGCTCAGCTTCTGATCCAGCTCGCTGCTAATGCATCTGAGAAAGCAGTGGAAGATGGACCAAGTACTTGGGCCTCTGTCACCTATGTGAAAGACCTGGAGGGAATTCTAGGCTCCAGGCTTCAGCTTGGCTGAGCCCTGGCCATTGCAGTCATTTGGAGCAACAATCAGTGGATGGAAAATCTCTTTCTCTATCTCTCCCGTGTCCTATAACTCTGCCTTTCAAGTAAATAAAATAAATATTTTAAAGAAATACTCACATGATTTCAATCTTCTGAAATTTGTTGAAATTTATTTTGTTACTCAACTACCAGGTTGATTTTTTTAAAAGTCCCTAATGTGCTCAGTATATTGCATTTCTGAAGTTGATTCACTTCCATGTAAGACAGTTTTCCATTAATTATTTTGTCACAATTTTCTGCATCTTTACTGATTTTTTTCCTGAGAAATGACTTTCAAAATATCCCTCTCTTGTTAAAGATTCGTCATACTTTTCCCTTTGAATTCTGTCAAATTTTGCTTTGCAAACCATCTAAGGCACCATTACTCCTAGGAACCTGGGGTGTTTAATAAGACCCCCAATCTTTGGAAGGTCCTGGACTTTTTACCTTAGACTCACAAGGCTGTCAAAGCATGACTCAGTTCTAACAAGTACTCATTAACAAGTATCTGATTAATCCTCTAACGTCCTCAAGCTAATAAATTGGTATTTTAATCCAACTTTCATACTTGTCACCAGAGGAAGGATTTGTCCATGTATCTAGTGCTGTTACCAAAGCAAAGTGCTAACTTGATGGTTTTAAAAAATGTTTTTAGCTATGGAACGCCTTGTGAGATGAGTTTATGTAAAGGCTCAGTGCATAAGAAACAGAAACACAGAGACGCTGAGGTTGAAAAGTGTTTGGAGTTCACATTGCTTCTCAAGTAAGTGACCTGTGGAGCTGGTCAAGAATTCCAGTGTCCTGGAGATAAACCAGTAGTTATATATTTCTAATTGACCAGGGAGGTTCAAGTACAGTCCTATCTGTAAGTCACTATGAATCTACCTGTGAGAAATGGCTTTTCACTTGGTGTGCCTATGAAATTATTATCATTTTTCTGGGACTGTAATGTTGATGACCCTCTCTTTCAAGCAACAGAGGTCTTATAGTCTTTAAATCCTCTTAAAAAATATCCCACAGATCTTTGGTCAAGATAAACATAGTCTTCAAAACCTGACTAATGTGAGCTCTATTTTTTTCCTTTCTTAATTTTATGGATAAATTAGCCAAAAATATATTTCTTCATAAATTATTTATGTATATCACATAAATTATTTATATCAAGTATACTTATTTACACACATATAAATTTATATTTATGCTTCATCAGGTAAAGTTCATAAATGAAATTTATCAATCTATTAATAAATATTAAGTGACATCTTCATGGACAGTCAATGTTATAGGTGCCTTTTCATATGAAGGAAATATGGCCACTTTTTACATGTTTTTAAATTTATGTGACACTGACTGGGTTTTAATAATTGAATATTAGGCAGAAATGTTTATATTCCTGCCTCCACATGTGTGTTTCCATGTAAAAGAACTTCCTGGCCTCTTTACAGGACTGAGTTATCCAAATTTCCAAACTGTGGGTTTTAAAAGGAGAAAAAGGTGTATTTGGCTTCTCTCTGACTCATCCTTTCTGCAGAAAGAATACATTCTTGTTTTTTGCCTGTCAGTGCTCAAGGAGCTAAACTTCATGGGGTAGTGTTAGTGGAAAGTTTGGGTTGACCCAGCTGTGCTTTGGGGTGGACAAGTTTAATTCTTGAATTCCACAATAGGAAACTCACTTGGTTCACATCTACACCATGCCCCTTGCCCTCCCTCCACCCAATGTAACTTTGATCAATAGTAGAACTCTATTTTGGTGACCACCTGTCTGACTCTGGTATTTTTCTTTCAAATGGTTCTGAAGGTAAGCAGAAACAAAGGTGCATTTACCGGCACCCCAACATGCTTACAGTCACTAGACTGGGGTTACTTTGAGCAATTATCAGAACTGACTGTCAGGTGGTGAAGAAAATCCAATGGTCTGAGCAACTGTAAGACATAACTCTTCCTCCAGTGCAAGCAGGAAGACTCATCCCATTTTGCCTACCCACTAAAGCAACAAGATCCACCCATGAAATTGGGTTATGAACTCTGAAACTGGTAGCACTAGCATTTAAGAATCTTAGTAAACTTTTCCTTATACTGGAATTTAAGGTCTTCCTGATCACAGCCCCAGAGTATCACCCCTTAAAGAGAAGGCTCTGTGTTTATATGCTATAATGTCTAAAAATAGCTGTTGTTCTTTTAAATTATGTTAAAGTATTAATGAAAGTAACATTTTATTTTAATAATTTAACTGTCATTTACATATTTTCTATATTGGTGTTTAATGCTAATGTTGTGATCAGTTTCTATTTACAGAAAGCTTAGAATAGATTAGAAGTCCCACAAAAGTACAAAGACAGAAACCAAGGAAAAGATTAAAAATTTCTCTCAGTAGTTTTTTTTTGTGTATAAAATTCTGAGCCATTCTTCTACTGCAAGTTACTTTTGTAAAAAGTTAGCTTTCTGGGCCGGCGCCGTGGCTCAATAGGCTAATCCTCCACCTTGCGGCGCCGGCACACCGGGTTCTAGTCCCGGTCGGGGCGCCGGATTCTGTCCCGGTTGCCCCTCTTCCAGGCCAGCTCTCTGCTATGGCCAGGGAGTGCAGTGGAGGATGGCCCAGGTGCTTGGGCCCTGCACCCCATGGGAGACCAGGAAAAGCACCTGGCTCCTGGCTCCTGCCAGGATCAGCGCGGTGCGCCGGCTGCAGCGGCGGCCATTGGAGGGTGAACCAACGGCAAAGGAAGACCTTTCTCTCTCTGTCTCTCTCTCTCACTGTCCACTCTGCCTATCAAAAAAAAAAAAAAAAAAAAAAAAAAAAAAAAAAAAAAAAGTTAGCTTTCTTATACTCCCTGAAACCCTTATTATAAATGTCAATTTGTAGGTCTTTCAAAAAGAAAACCTAAGTGATACTGGTCCCATTCGCCTCATTGTTTATTCCATTAGCAGTTGATTTTTAAGTCCTCACTACTTTTTCAGAGTCACAGTTTACTTTATTCAATCCTGAATAGCACTGCGGTTTTACACATACCAAAATCAAAAGTCATATGCTCATCTTTATTTCTAATGGGGACCACAATTGCCCTGAGAAATTTTAAAATGTACTTCTTGCTTATTCTTTATGTTTTTTCAGTTTAAAATAATATTTTTGTGTGCTTTTGGAATATTACCTTTTTAGCTAGACAATATTTATAAAATTCAATGTTTAGATTGAACTTATCAGAAGGCGCCTCCTACAGATTTGTTTGGTGATGAAAGGCATAAGAGAAGCATACTGAACAATAAAAACTAACTGGAAGCATCTTTCCTGAGTGTAGCAGGCTCAAGGATAAGCAGTGACCTATTCCTCTGGGAAAACAAAAGTAAAATTTATTACTATATTAGATGTTTTTTGAAAGCAAAATTATATATGCCAAACAGTCTCATTCTATGTATATAATCGATATAACCTTCAGGCTTGGGATTGCTGTCCATGGTCAGTGCCTTAAAAGATTGTACTTTAGAAATCATTTGTAGATAACAGCACATAAGACTTTTCAGAATTCAGCATTCTCTCTAGCCATAGAAGCAAAAACAGACTCTCAGTTTCAAACAGTGCTGTGGCATTACTTTATGTAAAACTCACAGGGAACAGAGAATGTAAACAAGTACCTGGAATGACCCCAGTCAGGAGCAAAGCCTGAGAGTGATCCTCTTGTGTCACTTGCATATTTGTAAACCACTAGCAGGCACTGTTTACAAAGCTCTACCAGGCGCTGGCAGCACTGGAGCTGCAAAGGAGTCACCACCTCCGGGCTTTTACTGAATATACTCTCCCAAGAGGATCTGTTGGCATGGAAACAGACATGACCTCATGTTCACTGTTAAAAATGGCAATCATCTATATCACTTACCTAGCAACAAACTGTGTCCTCACACATTCGCAGCAACCATGGATGGCTGAAAGTATCTAATAGGTGCAGATTAGGAAATTATCCTTTGCATTTAAGAAACAAAACATCAAATTCATATACCATTTTTCTTTATTGCCTTTAATGCATAGACAACAAGGTGATTTCCCAGTACTTTCTAAAAAGTCGAGTGATTTGGAAAATACTGAGCTAATGTTTCAAAAATTAACTATTTTAGCAATGTAGGTTTCTAGGAATCAATATTTACCTGAATATTAATAGTGGTCCCACAAAAGAATTAAAACGTTCCTGTAACTTAATTTGTGAGTTCTCTGCCTTAGGAGAATTTAGGTTAATCCCTTTATTATGATCACCTTTTTCTACATCTTTCAGACATAGGTTTACCCATGAGATTCTTACAGCACAGGCAGATTCTTCACTACAGAAGTAAAGATGTCTCAACAAACGCTGCTCTACTGCTATCCCCAAAGTGGCATCCTTCCTCCTTCCGGACACTCAGCTTATTTCAAAGAAGTGGTAGCTCACCCTTGTTTAACTTTAATTGTGTGTGTGAGAGAGAACAATAGTTTTCTATCACGGCTGAAATCAGAAACCACCTTACTACCACACCATTATCAATGAGCAAAGAGACATATACACACATGCAGAAAGAGAGAGAGAGAAATTCCTTAGTGTAAGTGAAACTCTTTTGAAGCCTTGAGGGGTAAGTTTAATTTGAGACTTAGTAATGGTTCAAGTTTCATTTTACATAAACTATTTCATGCTACCTTCAGAGAGAAAAGAGAGTAGATTTTCAGAAAGAAAAAAATATTAAGGAAAATATTTACCTAAAGAAATGTACTACCCAATGGAAAATTCAAAGGCTGCATTTTCAACCTTCTGTGGACTTCTGATATATTTGGAATTTTTTAAAATGCTTTAGAAGTTCAGGTAATTTTTTAGTAGAAAAGATGCTGTTTATTTTATCAGGAGAAACATGGTCCCCAAAATATAGCATTTCATCAGTGAATGACAAGATTTTTAAAGGAAATAAGATTCAAATGAGTTAACTGGAAGAAATAATTTTTCTTCTCTGTTCTGAGATGTTCAAGACTGAATATAATATTGAGGTGTTTTCAATTAACAAAGGAATCAACGTTCTCTTCATTCATGAAACAATAATATGGTACTTGAATTAACTGTAAAAATAAAATTTATATTATTACCAAATATAAGAAAAACTAGATGTGATTATATATATGTTTATCAAGATGAATAAAGAAATGAAATGTATTTACTTAACTTGATCAAGAAAAACATTGTAGAAAATTAATTATGGAACATATTTTTAATTACTATGTCTTACTCTAGCAGACCCTACAAATCTGCACCCAGAAAAATAAGATTTTCATAAATATATACAGAAAACATCCAGTAATTTGACTGTCTAGCACATTCCCTTCTCTCTGCAGAGACTTTGAATATGCATACAAAAGTCCACCTACTCTCAACTTGGAAATACATTGCTTTTATATTTTGGAGCCATTTTATGAGAGCTACTAACAGGGTCGTTCTGATCATGGTAATTTCCCTTTACTTAATTCAGGACTTAGAGGTAGGAAAAAACAAATAAATGGAAGGAAGATGAAAGAATTTCTTCTGTAATACCCTAATTTGATATAAATTTCTGAATATATGAGTCATAAAATAAATAACTAGTTTTGGCTTCTCATCTTCTCAAACTTCCTTTAATATTCTAAGCAAATATATGCGGCTGCCACTGTGGCATATGAGTTAAACTGCTGTCTACAATGCCAGCATTCCATGTGAGCACCAATGGGTCCTGGCTGCTCCACTTCTGATCTAGCTCCCTGCTAATGCACATAGGAAAACAGCAGAAGATGACCCAAGGAAACCTGGAAGAAGCTCCTGGCTCTTGGCTTCAGCCTGGCCCTGCCCAGCCATGTGGCCATTTAGGAAGTGAACCAGTGAATGGAAGATCTGTCTGTCTATATCATTTTCATTCTCTCTCTCTTTCTCTTTCTGTACTTCTGCCTTTCCAATAAATAAATTTTTAAAAAAAATAAGAAAGAAATAAAACGAATCAGATATTCTGTGCATGGTAATAGGCTATCGGTGCTCCTGCGTGAAGGAGACATGCTCCTCAAAGCGAGTGCATCAGACTATTTCCCACCTCTTCCCTGCCACCTGGCATTGCCTGAGTAGATAGAAAATGCTTTTGCAATGATACTGGATCTTGATTTTCATTATGAGCAACACAAAGTTTTGTTAAAAGAAAGGAGCTAGAAATAGTTAAAAAAAAAAAAAAAAAAAAACAGGGCTTTTTCAAAGAACCCTGGGTACCATCTGCTTGCTCTCTGAAACTAAATTCCAGAGAAAAGGGAGTGCCAAAAATCTACGAATTCAAAAAGAAAAATTAAATGATTAAAAAGTTCTTTCTCACTCTTCCTAATCCCCCCAGAAATATAAAGGGAAATGAATTTAAATGGTTTTTAAAGTAATATAATGATAAGATACAGAATACTGAGTAACTCTGTCAATAAAAGGAGTTATTAATGAAATCCAAAGGCTTTAAAAAAATCCTCGAATTATCCAGTAATCCAAAAAATTTTCACCCTTTTTCTCATCAAAACATTTAACAAAGTAATTATCTAAAGAACAAAACTGATTTTCTTTCTCCTATGGTAGAAATCCTAGTTGATGACTGAGTGGCTCAAAGATAATTAGCAGAAAGAACAAAGGAAAGTAAAAACAAAAACAACAACAAAAACTGTGCAATATGCCAACAGAATAATCACCAACAGAGATTACTGAGCCGAAAACAAGGACTAATGAGAACTTATCCAATCAAAAGGGACATGAGAAAAGCAAGAGTCACGTCAATTTAAGGGTCTCTATTTTATGCATGCATTTTCAAGAAGGCATAATTCATCCTAGGAACACCCTTCAAACACCCCTTGAAATGTCTGCTTGTCCTAAGAGTCTAAAAAAAAAGCTTACACATTCCAAAGTATCTCAGGAAAAGGCGTTTGGCTCAAGGGTCCAAACCATTACAATAAATTTATCTTCTAATTTCTTTTTTCCCCAAACTTTTGAAGTACTATTGTGTGTGCATATCTATGTAATATAGGAAACCATACAGAATTTAAAATACACGCATGTATACACACATACTGACACTTATTCCAGAGTCCAATCACACATTTAGCCTAAAGTTTGTTGACACGGGAAAAGAAAACCCCATGCAACTTCTCCATCCTTTACAGGAGCCTGGCATTAGCAGAAATGCAGGCTAAGTAACCGGGACTGGAATGGAGAAGCAGCCAGGGCCAGAACAGGCCAAAAAAAAAGGGAGGGTGGGTCACAGGGGTCTTCCACAGATTCTATTCTTTGCGGGTACATTTTGGCTTTTCCAAATCAGGGCATTCCTTCTCTCATACTACCCAAGTTTTAACTTCCCATAGCTGCCTTCCCTGAGTTCCCAGGCATGAGTTCAAGTTCAATAGAGCCCTAAGGCTCCTCATCCCAGTAAAACCTAGTAGATAATTTTAATCAAGAAAATTCCAAAAGCTAACAAAAAAATTTAATCAATGACATGAAAGATCTCTGTAATGGAAATTATAAAACATTAAGAAATAGAGGAAGACACAAAAAGTGGAGAAATCTTTCATATTCATAGAATTATCATCAAAATCTCTATACTACCGAAAGCAATTTAAAATTTAAAAAAATGTAAAAAATAAAAGACATTCTTCTCAGATCTAGAAAAAAGACCCTAAAATTCATATTGAAATACAAGAGACCCCAAATTGCTAAAGCAATATTAAATAATAAAAACAAAGTCAGAGGCATCACATTACCAGCTATCAAGGCATACTACAAGGCTGTCATATACAAAACAGACTGATATTGGCACAAAAAATAGACATGTGGACCAACAGAACAGAGTAGAAGCCCAAGAAATTAATCCATTCATCTACAACCAACTAATCTTTGATGAATGAGTACAAATCACTCCCTGGAGAAAGGATAGTCTGTTCAACAAATGGTATCAGGAAAATTGGATCTCTGCATGTAGAAGTATAAAACAAGACCCTTACCTCACACAGTATACAAAAATCAACTCACAGTGGAAAAAGGATCTAAACCTAAGACTTGGAACTATCAAATTACTAGAGGAGAACATAGGGGATACACTGAAAGATGTTGACTGACACAAAGACTTCTTAGATAAGATTCCAGAGTTAAGGCAATAAAAGCAAAAATAGACAGATGGGATTATATCAACCTAAGAAGCTTCTGCACCACAACGAAAACACCCAGCAAAGATAAAAGGCAACTGACAGAATGGGAGAAAATATTTGCAAACTATACATCTGATAAAGGATTAATATCCAGAATATATAGAGTTCAAGAAAGTCAACAACAAAACAAGCAATCTAGTTAAGAAATGGGCTAAGAATAATATGAACAGATATTTTTCAAGGAATGAAATATGAATGGCCAACAGACACATGAAAACATGCTAAGGATCACTAGCCATTAGGGAAATGAAAATAAAAACCACAATGAGGTTTTACCTCACCCCAGTTAGAATGGCTATCATCCAAGAATCAAAATATAACAAATGACGGCAAATATGTGGAAGAAGAAAGTACCCTAACACACTGTTGTAGGAATTCAAATTAGTATAACCACTATGGAAGACAGTAAAGAGATTCCTCAGAAATTTGAAAACATTACTCAGTTATTCCACTCCTGGAAATTTACCCAAAGGAAATGAAATCAGAACATAAAAGAGTTATCTGTACTTCTTTGTTTACAGCAGCTCAATTCAAAAAAGCTTTTTATGGAATCAACTCAGATTTCCAACAACTGATGACTAGATAAAGAAAATGTGGTATATATACATGATGAAGTATTATTCATAAAACAGAATGAAATCCTGTCTTTCACAACAAAAGAGATCCAATTGGAGACCATTATTCTTAATAAAATATGCCAGTCCCAAAAAGACAAATATCATGTTTTTTCTGATTTGCAGTGATGAATGTGGACAGTACAAAAAAAGTAATGTATATGAGTGATATTGACATCTTGAGATTTGATTATTGTTTATAGCTGTGTGTATACTCCTGAGGAACAGTGATCTTTCTACTTCCTACTTGATGAATTCCTTTTTTAGTGAAAGATTAAGTTTGTGATTATAAAGTAAACTGAAAGTATGCCATCGCAAAAATTTACAGAAAACTAAGGAAAGAGGGGATGTGTGAAGGAGAGAGGAATGGAAGAAGGTATAATTATGTCCTTAAAACTGAATATATGAAATCTGTTCCCTTTAGGTAAATAAAGAAAAGAAAATTCCCAGGGCTATTCCCCTAAAAGAACTGATTCAGAATGTGGGGCATCCTAGCACTCTGCAAGCCCACATGTGATAAAAGCATTCCTTGGCCTGCTCTTTAGCAGCCTGCAAGAGCAAAAAGAGGGACAAGGAGGTTTTCTGTTTGATGCATTCATAAAACCCCTTGGCCAATCCTACAGAAACCTGCCACAAAGATCTATACCACTCTTTGATGTCTATGGAGGCAGACAGTGGATGGCTTACTTACTTTGTTTTATTATTGGGGATGCTGACAGGCAGAGGCAGGAGTCAAGGTGGCCTAGAGTTGTGTGGATTATAGTTTTCAAGATTTTACACCTAAATTTGAAATAAAGTTACACCTCATATAGAAAACATTCCTTTAAAAATTAGCAGAGTAGATTTTCACCTTGACTGCCCATTAGTTAGATCAAAGGTTAAAGCAGTGTGTGTGTGTATTTGTATCAACTCAAAGGATAAATAGAATTATTCTGGATCCAAATTGAGAATCAGACACTCATAGTACTATATGACTTCAGCAAACTGAGGAAGCCTAAGAATTGCATTTGTAAATAAACCTGCAAAATAAACCTGGTGTTAAAGTGACCTCTACAAATCACCAAACTGAAAGAAATGAATGGAGAGTAGAGTCAAACTCGACTCAAAGCTACTTCTGCTCCACACACCCAGACATAATGCTTGGCCTTTAGCTAATGCTGTGGAACTTAGAGTAAGACAAGCTTGAAACCACCGGCAAGCTCTGAGAGGCAGTGAAACACAAATGTAGGAGAATGGGCTCTTGCCTCAGGCTCACTCACTTACAAGGGGAGCTGGACAAGTTACTCATTCTGTTCGTGGCTCAAGATCTTCAACTGTTAAATGGGAACAATAGCAATACTTCACTCAAAATATTTTTGTGAAGATTTTCCAAACATTTACTATGTAACAGATTATCAGACATTTAGTTTGCCTTCAATTAATATCATTTACTATCACTCTCATTACCAATAGTAGAGATACCATCAGGAGAATTTGAGGGAAATATTGTACCTGCAAGAGGAGAAAAAGAATTCTAAATCCAGTTAGGTGTGTTGGCCTAGAGAGGCAAGGAAATACATTTTATGGGTGTCTTCAAGTCGAGCATTAGCAAATAGCCATGGACTCCAAGCCACCAGCACCAATTTCAGTAACAGAATGTCTCAGTGCCTTCCAAGGTGCAAAGTAGCTGAGATTCATAGACAGAAATGGCTTCCCAACCTGCCTTCCCTTAATCCTGTGGTTATTCTTCTGGTCATACAGGTTTGATATCTCCCTTTTCTCTGTCTTTATTTAGTTGTTCACAAAATCCTGTTAGTTTTTTAATCACATTCCCATTGTGGCTATTCTAGATTATTTTCATTTGTTTCTTTCAACAATTATCAAGTACTTAGGGTCCAGCACCGTGGCATAGCAGGTAAGGCTGCCACCACAGTGCTAGCATCCCATATGGGTGCCAGTTTGAGTTCCAGTTTGTTAACACAAAACAATGGATCAACAAACAACAGCAACAGAAAACATTTAAATGATGAGCTCAAATTGCAAGAATCTGCAAGTTAAGCCACTGTCCATAATGCCAGCATCACTTCTCGGCACTGGTTTGTGTTCCAGCTGCCCCACTTCCAATCCAGCTTCCTGCTAATGGCCTGGAAAAGTACCAAAAGATGAACCAAGTTCTTGGGCCCTTGCCACCCACATGGGAGACCCAGAAGAAGCTCCTGGCTTCTTGCCAGGCTGTTGTGGCCATTTGGGGAGTGAGGCAGTCAGTGGAAGATCTCTCTCTCCCCCTTTCTGTGTAACTCTGCCTTTCAAATAAATAAGCAAATCTTTAGAAAAAAAAAAGACCCCCTCTATGTGAAATTGTGTCATACTTTATCTGTATACCTGTGCTTCTTTTCTGATGACTGCTTCTATGTAAATCATATTTTATCTTCTTGAGACCAGAGCTTAGTGATCATGAATGTGAACTCTGGGTAAAAGCTAAATTAGTTGAAATCCCAGTTCTACTGGCTCCTTAGCATCTGTCTGTGCCTTGACAGATAACACAGAATGAGATGCAAAGTGACCTTATGAACATTAAATCACTTGACAAACAAAGTGATTAGAACAAAGCCTGAAACGTGGTAGCAAGAGGAGTTTCTCATCATTGCTAAGTTTCTGGAGGAGAGGATGTGTGTCAGGCTCAACTTCGTTCTTGTATCTTTCAAAGTATCTAACACAGACAAGTACTTGATAATCCTTTTTTAAAAAAGATTTATTTATTTATTTATTCATTTATTTATATAAAAGGCGGAGTTACAGAGAGAGAAAGATACACTAGGAGATCTTCCATCTGCTGGCCCACTCTCTAAATGGCTCCAATGGCTGGAGCTGGGCCAATTCAAAGCTAGGAGCCAGAGCTTCTTCTGGGTCTCTCACATGGGTGCAGGGACTCAGGGACTTAGGGCATCTTCAGCTGCTTTCACAAGTGCATTAGCAGGAATCTGGGTCAGAAGTGGAGCAGCTGGAACTCAAACTGTTGCCCATATGGGACGCTGGTGCTGTAAGAAGCAGCTTTACTCACTATGCCACAGCACCGGACCCTAAGTACTTAATAATTGTTTAAAGAACTAATAAAAATAATCAAGAGTAGCCACAGTTTGAATGTGATAGAAAAACTAATAGGATTTAGCAAACAACTAAATAAAGACAATGAGAGAAACGGGAGATATCAAACCTGTATGACCATAATAACCATAGGATTAAGGGAAGGCAGGTAGGGAAGCCATTTCCGAACCAGAGGGTATGGAAGGAATCTCTGGTTTTAGATAACTTGAGGCTAAAATGACAATTAAATCATAGGAGCTTTAGTAGCACTGAAACTCTGGAGACAAGCAGGAGTGTAAGCATAATTTAACAGTCTGTTATATAAAACCAACAGCAGAAGTTTCAGGATATTGGCTTGCAATTGAGATTTTAACATTAATTAAGACTCCTTTCTCTCCATTGAATTCAAATTAGTTAGGTGTTATTGTATTCATATTCATATTCATCATCTTATCTCAATCAGCTTAACTAATATAAATTATAGTTGAATACTAAAAATTACATGCAATAAAAATAACTACATTTGAAAGTATTATTAAAGAAATTCAACCATTTTATTGGACTGCCTTTTTAAATAGTAAAATATTTATGATTACAATAATGAAACGTGGCTTAGCACTTACCCTGAATCACAGAAACAATTCCACAGTCCTTGGCCATGACTCCAGAGTAAGCGATTAAAAACCCGGTTGAAAATCCGATATAAATTTACTTCCTCAACATCAGGGACCTTCCAGATGCGTGGAAGAACTGTACGAACACTTGTTTTTACTATGTCCAAAACCTAGTGGAAAAAAATTACTTAAAATTAGGTATGGATGTGTTTCTAAAATTCAGTGATGAGTACACATACTCCATACAATTAAACAACAGCATGGAATAAGAAATCCAGAACCAGTCCATGCACTTATAAACCTTTGGCGTATGACAAATCTGGCAAGTGAGACAACTGTTCAGTAAGTGGAAATTTAAAAGTAGTGATCTTTTTGAAAAAATAGGTAAACTTGAGCCCTTACTTCACTCAACTAACAAAATATTAACATTCAAGGGATTAATGTCTTAGGTGAAAAAAAATCCATTGAGTGAAAAGTTTACTTGAGTCACAGAAAGGTATGAATCATAAAAAATGAACCAATTTTGATTATATTAAAATTAAGTTGTAGGCATTGTACTCCAGGGGGTTGAACAACCACTTGGGACGTCCACATGGCATATCCAGCTGAGATCCACCCCTGCCTCTGCTTCCAACCCAGCTTCCCTCTAATGCAAATAAGATACAGCAGATAATGGTGCAAGTGCTTGGATTCCTGCCACCCCATGGGAAACCGGGTTGTTATTCCTGGCTCCTGGTCTTAGCCTGGCCAGCCATGGCTTTTCCAAATACCTGGGGCATGAACTAGTAGACTGAAGATCTTTCTCTCTCTTACTATCTTTCACACTCACTCTGCCTTTCAAATAAATAAATAAAACTTTAAAAAACTAAGAAATTATGTTCATTAAAGAAAATAAAACACAAATGAATAACCTAGGAAAATATATCCAAAACAAATACATCAAACAAAAGATTAGTATCAGGAATGCATAAAGAAGGCCTAAAAGGACTCGGTCATTTTTCTTTTTTTTTTTTTTTTTTTTTTTTTTTTTTTTTTTTTTTGACAGGCAGAGTTAGACAGTGAGAGAGAGAGACGGAGAGAAAGGTCTTCCTTCAGTTGGTTCACTCCCCAAACGGCCGCTACAGCTGGCACACTACGCCGACCCGAAGCCAGGAGCCAGGTGCTTCCTCCTGGTCTCCCATGCGGGTGCAGGGCTAAGCACTTGGGCCATCCTCCACTGCCTTCCCAGGCCACAGCAGAGAGCTGGACTGGAAGAGGAGCAACTGGGACAGAATCCAGTGCCCCAACCGGGACTAGAACCGGGGGTGCCGGCACCGCAGGCAGAGGATTACTCTAGAGAGCCATGGTGCCAGCTCAAACAGATATTTTTCAAGAGAGGAAGTTCAAATGGCCAACAGACACTTTAAAAAATGCTCAGGATCACTAGCCATCAGGGAAATGCAAATTAAATCCACAGTGTGGTTTCACCTCACTCCAGTTAGAATGGCTCTCATACAGAAATCAAGAAACAAATGCTGGTGAGGATGTGGGAGAAAAGGTACCCTAATCCATTGTTTGTGGGAATGTAAACTGGTACAGCCACTGTAAGAGACAGTGTAAAGATACCTCAGGAATCTGAATACAGACCTGCCATATGCTCCAGCCATCCCACTCCTGTGGATTTACCCAAACCAAATCAGCATGTGAAAGAGTTATCTGTACCTCCATGTTCATTGTAGCACAATTCACAATAGCTAAGAAACTGAATCAACCCAGATGTCCATCAACTGTTGACTAGTAAGGGAATGATACCATATACACACTATAAAGTACTATTCAGTTATAAAAGAAATTGAAATCTTGCCTTTTACAACAAGATGGATGCAACTGGAAACCATTATACTTAGCGAAATAAGAAAGTCCCCAAAATACAAATATCATTTTTCCCTGATCTGAGGTGCCTAATAGTGTACGTAAAATGTAATGTGTTGTAGTGATATGGACATTTTGAGGTCCAGTGATTGTTTACAGCCCTTGTCTCTTCTGTTGAGGAACAGTGTATTCTTTCTTCATACTATTTATTGAACTATTTTACTTAGTATAGGCTTAACTATATGATCATTAAATAAACTGAAAATAGATCTTTGTAAAAACTAAGAGTGGGAATGTGTGAAGGAGGAGGAAGAATGGTCGGAGCATAGGTAGGGTAGGAAGTGTCACTATGTTCCTAGGTCTGTGTACATGAAATATATGAAATATCCATTTTTTAAAAAGCCCCAAAATTGCTATTACAAACATCTTAACAAGAAAAAAATGTACAAAAATTTATATGTTGACATTTCATAAAAAAGGAAATAAGACAATAAACAAAGAATAAAAGTAAAAATATAAGAAGACAATTTAATATCAATGTAATTAACAAAAATTGGCAAAAAATTTGACAATAGCAAGTACTAGCGAGGATGTGGTCTCTTAGATATTGTTGGTGTAAGTATAAATTAGTGCAATCATTCTGATAAACAGCTTGGCCTCATTGCCAAAGTTGAAAATTCATTCTCCCAATGATCTAGCAGTTTTATTCCTAAGAGACTCTCAATGGTTAAAAAAAAAAAAAAAAAACACAACCAAGAAGCACATAGGAAAGTGTTCAAAGCAGCTGTTCACAATTATAAACACTTAGAAACAACTCTCCAACAATAGTAAAGTAGATAAATACAAATATACTCCTCCCTTGACTATTACACAGTATTCAAAATAAACGAAACACAACACACAATACTGAGCATCTTAGTAATAGAAAGGCAAATTTAAAAAAAACAGATATCCAAGATTACAGACAATTATGATACCCTTTTAATGGAAATAAACAGGGGCAGGTGTTATGGCAAAGAGGGTTAAGTGCTGCTGGGGACACCCACATCCCATATCAGATCTAGTCCTGGCTACTCTGCTTCTAACCCTGCTTCCTGCAGGCCAGCAGATAATGGCTCAAATGCTTGTAGCCCTACTACCCACATGGGAGACCCAAAGGAATTCCGTGCTCCTGACTTCAGCCGGGCCCAGCCCTGGCTACTGTGGGCATTTGTGGAGTGAACCAGCAGCAGATATATTTTTCACTCTCTCTGTCACTCTGCTTTTCAAGTAGATGAAAATAAGTAAATAAATGTTTAAAAGGAAGTCATGGAAAAATAAAGATATCTTTCAAAAAATAGGAAGTAAAAACAACTAAATTTAACACACACAAATATATATATATATATATATACTATATATATAGAGAGATCATATACATTAATATATAAAAACGTATATATTACATATATATAACAAAATGTAAAGAAAGCAAGCAAGAGATTGGTGAACAGCGACTCGGGAAAATGACTATGTGAGACTTGAGGATCTCCGAGGGATAGAGGGAATCATTTGGTGAGACAGATAAATGTTATTGCCAAGATCCTAGCTTGTGTTTTGAGTGTTCAGTTCATAGATGGTACAGTTACCTAAAAACAGTAAGTAAAATCAGGCCACACAGATGGCAAAAATGAAAAAGCATTGAGAGAAATGCACTGTGATTAATCTGGACAACTGAAATCCTAAAGGCCTTCCAAAAATGTATAAACCCCCAAAAAGATAAGTTATCTATTTCATAGGTACTTGATACTTAGGCAATGTATGTATTTCTGGCAAATTTTTTTTGTAAAAAAGCAAATACCAACAAATACAATTTAATTATAGCTCACTACAGTAGTTTTCCCTTGTTTTGTATGTGCACAAATTTTATATATGTATATTTAAATCTTATATATACATACATAAAATTATGGGAACTACCTATAAAAATGAGAGTGAAAAGATAAAAAGACTTTCAAACATAAAGGTTGAGAGAAACATACGAAGAACTGGAAGCAGGTGAAAAAAGTTATTTGTTTCTCTTCATAACAGTTATATTAGTTATCTCAGATCGAGGCAAATTTAGAACAAAGATCTGTTTAAAAATCAATTCAGAAGAGGCCAGCACTGTGGTGCAGCAGGCTAAGCTGCCACCTGCAGTGCCTGCATCCCATATGGGCACCAGTTCTAGTCCTGGCTGCTCCTCTTCAGCTCCAGCCCTCTGCTATAGCCTGGGGAAGCAGCAGAAGATGGCTCAAGTGCTTGGACCCCTGCACCCACGTGGGAGACCTGAAAGAAGCTGGTGGCTCCTGGCTTCGGATCAGCCCAGCTCCGGCTGTTGCGGCCACTTGGGGAGTGAACCACCGGAAGAAGATCTTTCTCTCTTTGTCTGCCTCTGCATCTCCATAACTCTGCCTTTCAAATAAATAAATAAAAATTCTTAAAAATTCAGTTCAGTACAAATTTTCAAACTAACGCTTTATGTGGTGAAGAATACCAACTACAGTTTCCCATGCTGGATGGTGGGGGCAGCTTCACCCCTTCCCTTCCTGTCCTAGCTCCTTCACTTGCAGTGGGGACATTCATGTGAACTTGACAAGAGGCCAGGGTGTGTCAGGCGGGGGTGGGTGGGAAGCCAAGTAGTTTGTGAAAAACATTTGTCCTGGAAAACCTCACTATTACAGTTAATGAATGCTTAATTATAAAGAGGAATTTTTTAAAACCTTAATATGAATTATTCATAATAACACTGATAAAATATGCAGATCAGGCATTAATCCATGTCTTTTTTTATAATTTTCTTTTAAGCTGTTTAACTCTTTGTTTTTTTTAATGTAGAAAGTAGTACTTGTGACCGATGTAAGAATCAATATTAGCAGTGAATGATAAATTGAAATCATTTCTCTTCTCAATTTTTCTTTCTGTTCTCAGTCGATATGTTAGAAAGTAATAGGAGCCCAAAAGTCATAATGCAGGAGGGAAAGAGTAAAAAAGCAGCCAAGATGACCCTTAAACTAGTCTCAAGAATAAATTACAGTTATATAAAATGATTGAAATTGAAAAATGTTATCAATTTTGGAAATTTTATCATTAGCCTAAGCTAATCAGCGTTCACAATATATAATGAAATAATTATATTTGGCTTTAAAAGGATACAGAATTTGAGATTACAGGGTTTTCATTCATTTCTTTTTAAATATACTGCATGGCAAATTGCCCATGATACACTAGAGCCTAGGAGAAGGACAATTAACACATACTGGCTGCCTGTTCAAACCACTGTACTGGGTAAGTTACTTAGAGACTCTTGCTATGGTTTGGAAAGGATATGGATCCCAAACTCACGCAAATGGTTAGATAGCAAAGTTATAGTTAATAATACTAAGAGAGTGAAAACTAAATCCCATTATCGTGCTTAGGGGTGGGCAGAGTGGAAGGTCTTAGGTCACTGGCTGCACGTCCTGAGAAGGTAGTTCTCAGAAGTTTGCCCTAAAAAGCCAACTTGGACTCAGCCCCGCCCCGTTCTCTCTCTCCCTCTGCCTCCCTGCCTCCCTCCCTCTCTCCCTCCTCCCCACCTCCCCTCCTTCATTTCCTAGCTCACATATGATAATTCCTCTACACATACTTTGCCACTGTCATTCTCTAGCCTTACCAGATGGCTAAATGAATGAGAGCTGCCCAATGTTGGACTGTGAGCCTACAAAACCATGAGTCAGAATAAGCCTCCTTACTTCGTAAGCAGCCTATCTTGGGTATTTGGCTGCAGTGAGGAAAAGTTGACCAGTACAGAAAACTGGTTCTAAGGGATAAGGTCATTACTGTAACTATAGCCTAACACATGGAGATGGCTTTGGAATTGGCAAACTGACAAATGTTGGAAGAGTTTGGAGAAGCAGGTTAGGGAAAGGTTGGGTTGCTGTAAGCAGACCAATATGGGCAATTCAGACGAGGGCTCAGGATGCTGACAGAAATGGGTAATAAAGGCCATGCTGATGTGGTTTCTGAGGGGGATGAGGACTCTTTTTAAAGAAAAACATTTATTTATTTATTAGAAAGAAGAGAGACAGAAAGAGATCTTCCAACCATTGGATCACTCCCGCAGTGGCCGCAACAGTCAGGGCTGGGCTAGGCCAAAGCCAGGAGCCAGAAACTCCATTCAGATCTCCCACGTGGGTACAGGTGTCCAAGTACTTGGGCCACCCTCTGCTGGTGTTCCAGGCACATTAGCAGAGAGTTGGATCTGAAGTAAAACAGCCAGCATTCAAACTGGTACTCTGATATGGGATACAGCATCCCCCGCAGCGGTTCAGCCAGCTGAGCCACAAGACCAGCCATGGGGAATGGGGGGTCTATTGGGAATTGGCCACCTTTGTCAGATCATACAGGGAACTTGACTACATTGTGTCCCTGTCCTGAGTATTTGCAAGAGGGTGAGCTTAGATGTTGTGGCCTGGTATATTTGGCAGAGAAGAGTTCAAACCAGCAAAGCATTCAGGCTGCAGCATGGGTATTATTGGCTGCTTTTAGTCAGTTTTACAGTGAGAATCAAGAACACAAAGAGCAGAAAGATTTGAAAAATCCACAGCCTGGCCAGACAAGGAACAAAGAAAAAGTATGTTCAGTTACAGTGTGGTACAGAAGCAGCTTGCTGAGTAACTCAGGTAACAGGGAGCCATGTGCTAATCGGCAAGACAGTGGGAAAAGGCCTGGAGGGCATCTCAGAAATCTTCAGATGCTCCCTCCCCTCACAGTCCTATTATAGGCCTAGAAGTGCAAATTTGTTTCCAAGGCCTTCCAGGGCATAACGCTTTCAAGAAAGAACCCTGAAGCAACCCGCTCACCTAGAGCCAGCTCCAGGTTCTGCCTGGCCAGCAAAGTGCTCTGAGGAAATCACAGCCCTGGTTCAAGCTGGCCCAAGGACAGTTCATCCTGGAGGCTGACCTTGGCGTCATCCATATGATGCTGTTTTTGCAGATGTACAGAATGCAAGAGTTATGCAATGACCGTGCGTTCCATGGGGATTTCAAAGGAAAGCCTAGGACAGACAGAGATGTGGTACAAGGCTGGAGCCCCTGTGTGGAGGCTCTAATGCCTAGCAAAGCTGTGGGACTGAAGCCATGTGGAGACCACTGAGAATAAAGGTAGCAGCGACATGAGATACCCACTGAGGGAAGCTGCAAGCAACATGTCTAGCAAGCCTGGGAATGCTGCCAACATCAGTGCAGCCATGTGGGCAGAAGCAACATGGCCATAGAGGCATGGAGGCCTCCATCCAGATTCCACAGGATGTCTAGGACAACCTGGGGACCCAGACAGAAACTGTCACAGAGGTGGAGCCACTGTGGAAAGCCTTCAGTGGAGTAATGGCAAGCAGAAATGTGGTGTCAAAGCTGCTGCAGATCCCCACCAGGGAAACACCTCGGGAGCTGCAGACAAGACTGTAACCTGTGAGAACTGAACCACAGACTCTGACCAACAAAGCTGTACAGGCAGGACTACCTTTCCCAGAGTGTGCCTGGGAGCTTTATGATTTAATGTTTGTCCTGCTGGTTTTAGGTCTTGCTTTGGTCCTATTAATCCTTCCTACTTCTCTATCACCCCACCCACCACCCCCAGCCTTTGAGAAGAAAATCAACACCCTGTGCCCATCCCTCCATTGCTTCATGGAAGTACATGACTTGGATTTTTACAGGCTCACAGCTGAAGGAATTTACTTTGGGTCTCAGATGAGATTTTGGACTTTCAGATGAACATTGAGTTAAGACTTTGGAGTGACTGGAAGGAAGTACCAAGGAGCCAGGGGTGGAATGTTATGATTGACTGTTACATGGCCCATAAGGTCATGGTTAATGATACTAACAGAGTGGAGACTTAATCCAATCATAGCATCTAGGGGGTGGGACACTTTCTCTCTCTGTCTCCTGGCTCACCATCTTATCATGTGATTACTCCTTGCACATAGCCATCACCATCCTCCAGCCTCTCTAGATCACTGAACGAATGGGGCCAACCAGTCTTAGACTGTGGTGCTCCAAAACCACAAGCCTCAAATAAACCTCCTTCCTTTGTGAGTAGTTTGTCTTAGGTGTTTCAGTGTAGTGAGGAAAACCTTACTTAATAAAACTTCGATCACAGCTCTGCATATATTTTATTCTTAATTGAGAATGAATTTTAAAAGTATGACTAGCCTTAATATTCTAGTAATTTCAGAATGGTGGTAGGGAGTTACATATGGGAAATGCTTCTGCTCCACTCTCAATGTTTTCTCTAATATGGAGATGGAAAATGTTTCAGATAACTTAGCATCACTGCTAGACCCCTGCCCAAGGAGGAATTTCCTAGCTCAACAGGGACTGGGCAATGCAGGCTCTTCCTCACTCCTCTTCAGAGCAAACCACAGGGAATACACATTCTTTTTTGTTTCTCTTTGCCTCTTGTTTAAGGGTTATTTATTTATTTATCTATTTATTTAAAAAGCAGAGTTAAAGAAAAGAGATCTTCCATCTGCTGGTTTACTTCTCAAATGGGCACAATGGCCAGGTCTGGGCCAGGCCAAAGCCAAGAACCTGGAACTCCTTCCAGGTCTCCCACACGGGTGGCAGGGGCCCAAGCACTTCGGCCATCCTCCACTGCTTTCCATGTCCATTAGCAGGGGGCTGGAGTAGAAGTGGGGCAGCTAGGACTTCAACCCACTACACCACAACACTGACCCCAGTCACCTCTGATTTTTAGGGACCCTCTCCAAGAAGGCAAGCTTTGGTCATGGGGAGAAGAGTGGGAGCACTATGTGCAAACCAGGCTGCCCAGGTGCCCTCTGCCATAGCCACAAAGGACAGTGTGGACTAATTTGCTTCGGAGGCTATGCAGACAGGGAGACAATGATTACAGCTTTAGAAAAACATCCACTGAATAATTTTAAGAAGGCAGAGAGCAGGCAGACAAAAAATTAGACTGGGATGAGGTAAATCCATGCCAGTTATATTTGTGATTTTTTTCTTTTATTTCTGATGCTTTGAGGTAAAAAGAAAATGGCGGAAGATGAGTGATTTGTGAAACACACAGAAAAATGTCAATAAAGTGCCTTTGTTTTTATCTGTGGCACCAAGTGAGACTAACTTACGGAACATGGATATCCATTTCTTTACATTACAGCTTTTAAAAGCATCCCAATTCAACATTAAGCTTTCCAAGGGAAAAATAAATGATTCGGTCAATGACAACATTAATAAAATGAAAAGATTTGTCTTTTCCATATGAAATATAGCACATCTGAAGGCATAATGCACACAGACAAACTCATATTTTGCAAGAACATACAGATGTTGAATGACAAACTACTCCATATGGCTGAACAGTTGGTCCTAAATTAAAATAATGGCATGAGGTGAGGGTGGTTTAGAAATAACATTAAAATC